TTAGTCTTGCATTTATCACAAGGATCCGATTCTAATTGAAAGGTTCCGCTATTTATACCCTTCGGAGTGTTGGAACACCCTCCAAAGACGCGCCCCTTTGTCAGTCAAAATTGGATTCCTTAGCAACAAAATTAAGGAATAACACCGATAATGACCATGCATCAGAACCCTAGTCTTAACCACTTCAACCTAGGGAACAACGAATAGAAGATTAGGAATCACATATATGAAGACTAACTAACTCATTTTTTCCTTGTTTCAAGAGCATGGTTGTTGCGTGGTTGCGTGGTTGTTAGGTGGGCAAAGCCGAGTCTTATCACTATCAGCAAGGCATATAAAGTAACAAGGACTAAGATGTGTTCCTTTGATTACTGAAAAATCCTGCTCCCCTAGTTTGAAGTAGTCGGGACTAGGAATCGGTGGTAGATCTTACATCCCGTAACGTTCCACGAAAAGGTGATCTACCCACGTTACGGGGCACCAAGGTTAGAATCAAATAGACTTCGGTTAGGCATCTTGATGTCATTTTTGACAACTGTCAAATTTTCTGTTTCCGTTACGCTTCCGCCCACCCACAAAGTCCAGAAAACTTTCAAGAAGTTGACAGTCCCATGAATGTTCGGAAAATTGCGAGAACTTTAATAAAGGCACGAGAACATCAGGAACATTTTGAGAACTTTATGTTGGTTCCATTAATTACAGAAAAATTTCAAGAACCTTCAAAAAGTTTTGAGAATTTTAAGCGAATTCCAAGAATTTGAAGGAAGTTCTGAAAACTTCAGGGTAGTTCTGAGAGCGGGGCAGTTTTAAACCCATTTTTGGTCGGTTTCGATATCTTCAGGGCAGCTAGTTTTATTAAGCTCGGGGAAATTACATGAGTAGTACTGAAGTTGACAAATCTTCCTTTGAGTTTAATGATCTTAAGGGAAGCTGTGTGAACTTTGGGACAGTTTTGAGAACAACAGTGTAGTTCCATATACATCAGGAAAATTACGGGAAGTTCACAAGAGTTCCGAGAGGTTCAGGTAAATTTCGATAAATTAAAGGCAGTTCCATTAAATTCAGCAAAACTTACGAAAACCAAATATTAAAGATACCCCAGAGATCATTAGGGAGGCTTAGAGATCTTAAGAAACAAATTCACTGAAACTTCGAGAAATTCACGGAACAGAAGCTAAGAGATCTTTAAGACAGTTCAGGGCAATTTCAGGAACACCATCAGAAGAGTAACGAGAGCTTCAGAGATGTTTCAAGAACTTCAAGGAGGTCCTCAAAATGTTTAGGAACTATATGTAACCTTTATTATATTGCTTATTGCGCGGTTTATTGCTCATACAATATGCATATTTCATTATGTTATTTGGTGCAACAATGGTGGGATTGGGAAGGACCATCAGGGCACCCACTTTGTCGCGATTTGGACGGGGAGAGTGGAAATGCCAACTCTCTGTTGATAACATTTCGTGGATAAAGAGTGGGCTCTTTTCCCCACTAATTTCGGCATCTTCCTGCTTGGGAGATCACCTTTTTGACCAATTCAAGAGCAAATTTTCATTATGTCGTAAGTAACATTCGCACCGATCCGAGAAAAATAAAGTTTTGTTTTGCTGACCGAAAAGTTATTCCTTTTTCCAATTAAACACATATAATCGCACAGTGATAGCAATGTTTAACATATTTAGCCAGGTTTTAATCATACAAATGCAAATCGCTAGCTTTCATGCTAAAAAATACTGGTTTTTGAGTCAAATGTTATTATACGTCGTTTGGTGGCCCCTATTGTTACTTAAGTCAAAGTGTATTTACCAGGATATTCGGGAGAATTATCAATTACGTCTCCTTACGTGCAGCCCATTCATCATTATAGGACCACCAAAATCATCTAAGCAACAAACAGTTCGATTTATTCACTTTAATAATGAGCAAGCGAAACGACGAACGTACACTTTTCACGGATTTATCTGCGCTGTTACTTAAGACAAATGGCATCTCCATAGAAATCGGGTGACTTAAGTAACTTCGAAAATATTTTGATAAGAAGGTGATTACGTCAAAAAGCAATTTGACTGGTGAATAAATTTAAAAATGGGATTTGATCATATATTCAGACACTATATAGTGTAATAGCAGGAGCATCGATTGACACTGACAGCTCGACTTTGTTTACCTTTGTTACATTTGACGTAATGAAAAAAATTGGTCTTGAAATGTGCGAAAATGTTGCTGAAAGAAGATTCTTTACTGTCCCGTAGATGCGTATAGGCGACTTTACTTATCGATACCTATCCGCGCTACAATGGTTGGTAAACAACTATCATCACTATCATCATGCAAAAAAGTTCCGAAGAATGAAAGTAAATATCAAGGTCTTAGGGAAAGTTTAATTAATAGACGGTGGGATAATAAGGGGATTCCCAAGAACTTCAATAAACTTTCGGGATCTTCATGGAAGCTTTGAGCAATTCTAATTAGCAGGAATTTTTAAGAAGTTCTAAGAACTTCAGATATATCCAGACTTTTGTTAAAGCTAAAGATAAAGTTCAGAAAATTTCAGGAAATTTCACGCTCAGAGAAGTTAAGAAAACTTCAAAGAAGCTCAGAGATCTTGATTCCAAAAATCTCAAAGAATCTTAGGTCTACAGATTTTCTGGGAAGCTCAGAGATCTTAATGGCAAAGTCAATAGTTTTAGGAAATTCCACATTCGGGAAATCTAAAGATGAAGTTCCGAAAGTTTCAGAAAAGTCCAGAGAACATCAGGGACCTTAGAAAACTTCAAACAAGTTCAAAGAACTTCATTAAAATTGTGGAAACTTTAAATAAATTCCCAAAATATCAGGGAAATCTAGGTCTAAAGATTTTCCGGGAATCTCAGAGACCTTAAAGGCAGTGTCAATAACTACAGGAAAGTTTAGACTTTCCGGAAATCTAAAGATGACGTTCAGGAAATTTCAGAAAAGTCCAGAGAACATCAGGGAGGTTAAGAAAATTTCAAAGAAGTTTAGAGAACTTGAGCAAAATTGTGGAAACTTTAAAAACTTTTCAAAAAACTCAGGAAAGTCAGGTCTAGAGATTTTCCCGGATGCTGAGATACTTTAAGAGCAGTTCCATTAACTTTAGGAAATCCCAGGCTTTCCGGAAATCTAAAGACAAAGTACCGGAAATTTCAGGAAAGTCCAGAGAATAGCAGGGAATTTAAGAAAACTTCAAAGAAGTTCAGAGAGCTTGAGTAAAATTGTGGAAACTTTAAAAACTCAGGGAAGTAAGGCCTAAAGATTTTTGGGGAAGCTCAAGCCTTAAGGGCAGTGCTAATAGCTTCAGGCAAATCCAGACTTTTCGAAAATCTAAAGATGAAGTTCCGGAAATTTAAGGAAAGACCTGAGATTTTCCAGGAAGTTTATTGATTTTTAGGACAATTTCGTTTATTTGAGGGCAATTCCAAAAATCAGGGAAGATCAGAGATCCTCAAGGCAGTTAAATTAGCAAATAAATAGCAGAAATTTAACAGAAGTTTCAAGAAACTTTGGGTATTTCCGAAAAGATCAGTTAATTCCGAGATATTCAAGGATGTACAAAGAACTTCAGAGAAAGGTTGATGTTTTAATGTCTTGTTCAGGCTACAGAGTAGCAACATTTTTTTTTTTAATTCTTTATTAAAGAGATTTTTAGCCTTAGGCTAGTTCATCTCTAAAAGAGTAGCAACATGTTATAGCGCTATCTTGATGGTTGTTTCCGTGTTGAAATTTTTTGTCAACCGTTATAACATGTTATAACTCTGTAGTCTGAACGTACTCTAAGACTGTTTAATTTTTTACAGGGATGTTTGGAGTAATTCAAGGAAATCAGAGAACTTCAGAGCAGATCAAGATGTACCGAGGGTAGACCATGAATATCAGGAAAACTGTTGAAACGATAGACTGCCTATAATCGCATATCAGTCCCATATGGATTTCCGTCAATATTAAGATAACAAAGTAATCCACTATCAATTGGCATCTACTTTCATATTTCGTGATAAAACTACATTTTTCGCTGATATAACACAGCATGCAAGCTTCATTGTAAATGGTTTCAACTTGAAAAAATATAAACCAATTTATCTCCTTAATAAAGACAACCAAGCACCAACCAACCATAAACCAGTTTACTGATGATTTTTCAAATATTTACATGGGAATTGCACCTCGTACACACTAAGATTTTGTTTCCGTGTTCGGAAAATTTTTCCAAAATCAGAACAGCTGAACGTTCGGTAAAACTTTGACCTTCATTTTAAAGGCTATTGAATTTGAAAATAATATCAAAACATGTTCAACCTTGTTTAAATGATCAAATCTTGTCATTTTAGTGAAGATGTCAAAGTAGCTGAAAAGCAATTGAATTGAATTACATAAATTTTACCGAAAAGTTCAGCTGTTCAGATTTCGGTAAAAATTACCGAAGTCGGCGATAAATTCTAAGTGTGTAGCTTTAACTGCCATTTTCGCAATGCCTACTTTTTCCATATGGGACTGATATGGGATTATAGGCAGTAGAGAAGTTCAAAGAACTTCTTGAAAATTTAAGAAACTTCTGAGAAGTTTAAAGATTATCATTTGTTTCGTCACCAACGTTTCGTTCCAGAGATTGGGATCTTTATCAGGACTAGGGTTAGTTCAAGCGTTTTGCGCTACACGAAAGAGGGTACAACTTTATATCCTCTTCAAATGGTCAGCTTCAAAAACAGAAACATCGTACATTTAATATCGTAGCCAATAATCGAAACGCTAGTAATTTGAAGTTTTATGGCGAGCTGATTGCTGACAGAATTTTATCCTGGGTTTTAATTAGAGGGAATTGAATTTTGTGTACATTCTCAATTATGGGTATTTCTCAAAGGGATGGATTTGAGGTGGGCAGAAACGCTCATAATAAATCATTGGGTTTGGGGTTTTGAGGATTCTCGTCTGTGATATCTGCACGATTAAGCTTGACTCGGAAGCCCTGTTCCCCCATCCGACGGTTACGTCTGGAAAAAATATTGTATTTGCATGTAAATAAATGATTGTAACAATATAAAATTCGCTACTAGTACACTATGGACTACGGAACTACTCAACATCGTCTGGTAACTGGTGCCGCCGGCGTTGTACGTGGAATTGCAGCACTGCGTCGCAAACTGGATCACGTTCGGATAGTAGTGGTTCCAAAATTTGACCGGCCCGAAGCTCATCGTCGAGTGGTCGCTCATGTTGAACGAGCGGTCGATGATTAGCACGCCCGGTTCGTCGTTGGTGAACGTGTCCCACTTGATGTACACGCCAACCTGGGTCGGGTTGGTGAACTTGGCAAAGTTTGCCCACAGGGTCATCACGATGTCCGCCACCCGCTTGTCCGCACTGTCCCACTGCATCCCGTCGGCCAGCATCAACCAGTACGGAAGACCCCACAGGAAGATCAGTTCAAAGTTGTGCGGAACACCCATCCAATCGGGAATGTCCTTCACGGCAGCTTCCGTCCGTGGCTTTATGTCAAAGCGATACACGTACGTCTCTGCCAGCTGACTCATGTGCATTGCAAGCTCTATCGTTGGAGCTACAAACTTCCTCTCCGTTGCAAACTCAATATAGCGTCTCCGCAGCTTCATCGGATCCGTTGTGGGTGGATATGGTTTGTACTGAAACTGGATAGCATCCATCACGATCTCCATATTTCCCCCGCAAAGTGAATCGTTGAAATCCAACTGGTTCAAATCCATCATGACTGCATCCCCCAGCAACGTTTCGAACATCTCCGATCCGATGCCATGCTCCAGCATATCTCCCATCGCCAACTCCAAACCCTCTTCCATATCGGTATGCCCAATCATCAGGGGGACCTTCCTCAGCTTCCCCTGATGGACCAACATCATCGGCAAATCTGGTACGAACGGAGTCGTAGTATTACTGAGGCCACTATCCACGACCGGTCCCCAGTCAATTGCTGGTGAATTCTCTGCCAAAATCTGACCACCGACCCTGCGGAGGCAGTCGATCAAACTCGTCGTCGGTCGCCGAAAGCAACCGAAAGCCGTTGCTATCTCATCTAGGCCGGTAGCATAGTACTTGGGCATCTTAACCATTGAATCCAGCAGCACACTGCCGGACATGATAATCGCTTTGTGGAACATTTCTTCGGTCCATTCGCCGGAAGTTAGATGCAGCCCGACGCAAACCGCACCCGTCCCGTGGCCCATGATGGTGACTGATGCTTCGTTGCCGTTGAACAGCTTGATGTTACGCTTGATCCAGAGCAGTGCTGCCGATTGGTCCATGAGACCGAAGTTCCCCGGCGCCGAGCCGTCCATTGTGGTGAAGAACCCGAATATCCCCAGCCGATATTGTACGGTGATGACGATCAGTTTCTGCTTGAATACCATGTGGAATGGGTTCAACATGAAGGGGGTGTCTCCGTCAAAGTCCCCCGTGGGGAACCACACCAGCACCGAGTAGCCCTCGGTTGGCATCGTGGCTGGAATGAAAGAGAGATAAGGGAAAAGGGTGAAAGGTGAGTGTTTAGCGTGTCTGTCGTGGCTATAAAGGATAATTGAGTTATTCTGGTTCATGATTAGCGGTAGGTATTTCCAATTTTGTTTAGGAAGATGACCGGGCTGATTATTAACTAGTCATTATCGATGTAATCTAATTGTCTTAGAAATGAATAAATGAGCAGTGACTGGTTGGCCGTTGGTCCTTATCGTAAATTTGATGCGTGACGACTGTCTTCATCACGTTAGTTATGCCGGGTGAACGAACGGATGCACGCACATATCATCAGTCGCGTGAACGAGTTAGAAAATCCACTAACTAGAAAATCCGTATTCAAGATGAGGTGGTTGGCGAGGGCGAGCATTCAATGATACATTCCCATTGTCATAAGGAGAAAATAAATACCTTAAATGTATATGATAAATCGTGCTAATTTACACCAAACATCACGTTACCAAGCTAACTTGTAAGAATAAAAAAAAAAAACATTCGCAAAGCAGAACCATTTTTTTCCGTCAAATTGAGATCAGTTCCTGATTGGTAAAATCAATGGTTTATATCAGTTTGACTGGAAAAACATGTTTCAGTAGTCGTAATGTCGAGATATGTGTGAATTTTCAATTAAATTTCATTTCATTTACTTCTTTGGCAGCTTTTCATAATCACTATCATTTTTCATTGAAAACATTGGATAATGCGGTTAGTTTTGCTCTCACCACTAAGTACTGTTCACTTTATAAAACGGATTCACACTTTAAATCACAACTTTTTTGCTTGTCTACTTAGGTGGATGATTCCTTCGGCAAGTATGAAGCTGTATTTGTTAGCATCATTGCGAAAATCAATTATCAGTGTTCACTCGGCTATCGACAAAAGCAGGCCACTCTCGATGTGTGCCACGCGATCGTCTGTTTTCTCGGCAGCAACTCCTCATTGTTTTTCATCGGTCGATGCGTCGTCGACTTTGGAAAGCAACCGTTTCGTGATGAGTGTTGACCACGTTTTGCGTCCATTGCTGCAATGGAAGCGCTTTGCCCCACGATGGCGTAACTGCCATACAATGAAACCACTGGAAGCGGCTCCAGTTCTGATGGAGGAGGCTTTTTGGATAGCGGAAGATAAAGTGTTTATTGTGTTGTACCTTTTGACTATAGTTTTAAGTTGTATTGTATAGTGACCAAGAATCCTCGGCTCTGCAATTGAGTTGACCCTCAGTTACCGACGCGATTGGTTCGTTCTTGTTTTGCTCTTCTGCAGCAAATCCGGTACTTGTAGTGCGCTACGTATTCATTATAAATAATGGAAAACGGACCCTCATCAGTCAGTAGGATAAGATTATATCCCAAAACTGCAAACCCTCCATACATTGTTTTTTTTACGATAAATGAAATGTTCAATAAACGCATTTCATATTGAAGAATTTCTCAGCTCTGGTACTATCTTTGGTTCCAAGCTAATCAATGCACCCCTCGAAACATATGAAAACGAACCCCTCATTTTATTTGTCAAACTTTCTTAGTGAATCAAAACAAACATAGTGTTTAATTTATATTTATAAAAAAAGGCGTTAATCGTTTACTGGGGACCAATAGGCTAGTCAAGTAGTGAGCCAATTTAAAATTGTTAGCTTCACCGGTTGGTTATACCATCTACCAGAGCTGCGGCACAGCTGCGGGTACAGCTTTCATCGTGATGGGTGAAATGCAGAAGCGCGTGATTGGGTGGTGGCCAATCGATAGCAGAATGTGCAAGTTGAGGATCAAATGCCGTTTCTTCAATGGCATCACAATCAACGTGCACAGCCCTCACTTAGCAAGTGACGATGACGATAAAGACGCTTTTTACGCGCAGTTGGAACGGGAATACGACAGCTGCCCAAGCCATGACGTCAAAATCGTTATCGGAGATATTAACGCTCAGGTCGGCCAGGAGGAGGAATTCAGACCGGCTATAGGAAAGTTCAGCACTCACCAACTAACGAACGCCAACAGCCTCAGACTCATCGATTTCGCCGCCTCTAAGAACATGGCCATACGTAACATCTACACCTGGAGATCACCGCAGCAGACAGAATCGCAAATCGACCACATTTTGATGGACGGAAGGACTCAGATCTCGGAAATTATCGCCACGGTACAATCTGGAGCGACTGAAGCTGCCCGAAGTCGCAACTGATTACGCGCAATGCCTCGACGCAGCGTTGCCGGATGAAGGAGAGCTCACCGAAGCACCTCTTGAGGGCTGCTGGAACAACGTGAAATCAGCCTGCGGAAATCAAGTGCTGCCATTGGGTTTGTAGAACGGAATTGACGCAACAATTGCTTCGACGAGGAGTGTGAGACGGTTTTGGACGAGAAGAACGCAGCGCGGTCGAGGCTGCTGCACCAAGGAACCCGTCAAAATTTGGAGCGAAGCCTGCAAGAGCAGGAGCGCGAAGAAATACAGCAGCTGTATCGTTCTCACGAAACGCGCAAGTTCTACGAGAAACTCAACACATCCCGCAAAGGCTTTGTGCCGCGAGCCTAATGTGTTGGAATATCTTAACGGACGAACGTGAGGTGATTGAAGGGTGGAAGCATCACTACGATGAACATCTGAACGGCGCAGAGGCGGAGGACCAAGGCAGCAGGAGGAATGGCTTCGTCGGTACAGCAGATGAGGGGCCAGCTTCCACGATAGGTGAAGTTAAGGGTGCTATCCGACAGCTTAAGAACAACAAAGCAGCTGGGAAAGATGGTATCGGAGCGGAATTTATTAAAATGGGCCCGGATAAGTTGGCCACTTGTCTGCACCGACTGATTGTCAGGATCTGGGATACAGAACAGCTACCGGAGCAGTGGAAGGAGGGAATAATATGTCTAATTAATAAAAAAAAAGGCGACAAGCTAGAATGTGAGAACTATCGAGCGATCACTATTCTCAACGCGGCCTACAAAATGCTTTTCCAGATCATCTTTCGCCATCTATCGCCGCTAGCAAGCAGATTTGTGGGAAGTTATCAAGCCGGTTTTATGAACGGGCGATCGAAAACGGACCAAATCTTTATGTTGCGGCAGATCCTCCAAAAGTGTCGTGAATATCAAGTTCCTATGCATCACCTATTCCTCGATTTCAAAGCCGATTAGGCGCAGACTGATCAGGGCTACGATGGATGGTGTTCAGTGCTGCTCGAAGATATCGGGTGCGTTATCGGACCCGTTTGAAACTCGCAAAGGACTTTGACAAGGCGATGGTCTCTCCTGCCTCCTGTTCAACATTGCGCTAGAAGGTGTTATGACACGTGCGGGCTTTAACATGCGGGGCACGATAGGCAGAAGCGTGACAATCGACGAAGATCTGTTCGAGGTGGTGAATGAATTGTTGTACCTCGGATCATTGGTGACGTCGGATAACAACTGCAGCAGAGAAATTCGTAGACGCATAATTGCCGGAAGTTCGCCGGCGCCGGTGGTGTAGTGGTAAGCGTGACTGCTTTCTAACACCCCGATGGGTCTGGGTTCAATCCCAGCCGAGGTCGGTGGGATTTTTCTGATTTTTCACGTCTTCCTTCGGAAGGGAAGTAAAGCCGTTGGTCCCAGCCCATGTGTGTTGAATGGGTATGATATCCTACGCAGGTGTGGAAGCTGCCTTCCTGCACATTCGATTGCCGTCAATGAATGGCAATCGATGTCCGTCGATGATTGGCACTAGATTGCGGAACAGAGACCGACGTTAAAGAAAGGAAAGAAGAATTACCGGAAGTCGTGCTTACTACGAACTCCAAAAGACCCTGAGGTCGAGTAAACTTCACCCCCGTACTAAATGTACCATTAGACGTTGATAAGAACCGTAAATCTCTACGGGCACGAGGCGTGGCCGATGCTCGAGGAGGACCCGCAAGCACTGGGTGTTTTCGAACGACGAGAGCTTAGAACCATCTTTGGCGGGGTATGTGAGAACGGTGTATGGAGGAGAAAGATGAACCACGAGCTGACGCAACTCTATGGCGAACCCTGTATCCAGAAAGTCGTGAAAGCTGAACGGGTACAATTGGCGGACCACGTTGTAAGAATGCCGGACAACATTCCTTTTAAAATGGTGTTTGCCTCGAATCCGGCCGGTACAAGACGCAGAGGAGCACAGGGAGCAAGGTGGTTAAACCAAGTGGAGCAAGATTTAGGAAGTGTGGGACGGTCAAGAAATTGGAGACAAGCAGCCACGAACCGAGTTAGTTGGCGTAACATTGTGACGCAGGTACTGTTCTTCAAAAGAAGCATAAGAAATTCCAAATCAGACAGAAAAACATGCGGGAGATTGTGTACACCAGCTTCAAGGAACGTGGATCACATCTTTCGAAGCAAGCAAGTGATACATGTCAGGAAGAAAAACTTCTACACAGTGTTGGCGAAATCAGAATTCAATTGATATTTTTCCGCTCTCATGCGCTCGCAATATCACGCGTGATATTGGAACAAAATATCATGCTTGATATTGATTTTACAAGCTCCTTTGATATTGCGAGACTATTCACAACGTGCAAAAATCAAGCTGAGAGTTGACTCGACACAAAAATGATTCCATTGCACATCATTTTTTTAGAAAGAGAAAGCATAGTTTGCTATCTCTTTTTAATTTTCACCGATGGCAGACGCGAAGGGACTGCTGCAACTTGCTGGTAAATATCACGGCCTTCATGTGACAATGAGAAAACAGGTCCTCTCACTATCACGAGACGAAACTACCTATCATAAGCTTTCTTGTCATTTTTCAATGATCAAGCATTCATGAGAATAATTCTTATGTGGTTTTGACATCAACATTTCTAACTGATTTAGATTAATTTAAGAATGTAACCGTATGTAATCCGTAGAGTGAATTTATTATTAAGATTTCCTCGGTACAAGTAACTTTCAAAGCAATAAATAAGCTAGTAATTACGATGATCACAACACTGTCACGTTCTGTCATGACAAAAAATTCGATGAGATTTTGAAGAAAATCTCT